ATGGGGCACTGGCCATCTATAGCTTGGAGACTGTGAGGACCTAATATGGTGATGTGTGGGGAATGCCCATGGCAAATGCTAGTTGTGTGGATCAGACCACAAAGCCAGCATTGCTGACCAGCCCAAGGCTGAAAGCCAGTGGTCCTGGCATGGCCTTGAAAGTGAATTTTTATTTCCCTCCCTTTACCCCACAAGAGCATACAGACTAGGTCAGGGGTGGGCAAACTTTTTGACTCGAGGGCCACAATGGGTTCTTAAACTGGACTGGAGGGCCGGAACAAAAGCATGGATGGAGTGTTTGTGTGAACTAATATAAATTCAAAGTAAACATCATTACATAAAAGGGTACGGTCTTTTTTGTTTGTAGTTTTATTCATTTCAAACGGACCGGATCCGGCCCGCGGGCCGTAGTTTGCCCACGGCTGGACTAGGTAGTGATTTTCTCTCCTGCTTTACCAGGCAAAGCAACGAGAGATCAGAGCCGCGCATTGGCCTCCCCAGAGGAGGAGGAGGCATGAGTGAGCGGTCAGAGGCTGTGCTTTAACAAATCTAGGGAGCTGAGTTGGGGCCCTTCCCTCAGCTGTGACTTTTCTGGGGAAAACATGGAGCTGGAGCAGCAAGCTCATAGGCACTAGTGTCGAGATGGAAATGACCCCTTTGCCAGCCGGCAGGGGTGATCCCAGTGGGCACCTCTGCATCAACTAGTGGAAAGGAAGCAACGTGGGGAAAGGGCCAACACAGAGGACTTGGAGTCAGCCTGAACTTGAATCTCAGCTCCACTGCTTGTGAGCAGAGGCACTTTAGGCAAGCGCTTCATCTCTCTGAGTCTCATTTTCTTCATCTGTAAAATAGGGGTGATGGCGGTGCCTGCCTCAGAGAGTGAGAATCAGATAGGTGAGTGTGAGTGCTTTGCAAACTAAGTGCTGTAGGTTTTGCTCTATGTGAAACCCAGGGCTGCGTGCTTTTAGGAACACAGGCAGAGCATGAGAAGCAGGCCCTGCCCTTGGCGATGTGCAATCTAATGGGGCAGGAAGACTGGCACACAGAGTTCTGAGCAGTGTTGGTGCTGCAGGTCCAGATTGCTGCACAGAGGTGGAGCTGGGAGAAGGAAGAAGGGCTGGACTGGGTATTCAGATGATGTTTCCTGGAGGAGATAGAATTTTTGCTGGGCTTGGAAGGATGGGTAGGAGTTCACTAGGCAGATGATAAAATAAAGACTCTCACTCTGGGCAGGAGATAATGACAAGGAAATAATGACAGATGTTGGAAACAGCCACAGGCCACTTTATATGCTTTGTTTGATCCTCTTGAGGTAGGTTTTATTATTATTTCTAATTCATAGGGGAGACCCCAGAGGTTGGATATCTTGCCCGGTGTCAGACTGCTGGTAAATGGCACAAGTAGGATTCGAACCCAGGTTCTAAGGCTCTGAACTATCCTCTATAGTGCTTCCCTAAAAGCAGGATGTACCAGAGATGCATCTGTGATTCCATTGGTTCAATCCTTCATTTATCCAGTGAACAATTTCTGAGCCCCTACCACATTCCCAGCCATTCTTTGGTGTTAGGGATGGAAATGAGAGGAAGGTCCCTAGCCCCCATCATGGAGCTTTAGGACAATAGGAAGAGGACACGTAAAGAAGTAGTCACAGTACAGTTGGTTGTCTGCCAGGGTACCGTGCTGGCCCTTGGGTGGAAACAAGTAGCTGTGTGTGTTGGGGGCGAGGGCTCACAGAAGACACTCCAGTGTGGACGGGTTGGAGCTGGTGGGGAGGGGGAAGAAGCTTGTCAGGAAGGCATTCCCGCAGAGTGGAGATCTCCTAACTCCTACTATACATACATTGTAATTTTGTTTTGTTTCTCTTCTTAAAATTTTTTTTAATTGTTAATAGTATTTCAGATATCTCCCATTCTTCTCTTCACCCCCCCCACCCCCCCGCCGCCCCATCCCACATTGTGATTTTGAATGCAACTCTGTCCTAAAAACTTGTCACAATCATCGTGGTTTTTTACGTTGGGTGATTCAATAATCTTGCACTCGACTATTACTTTTTTGGGGGGGAGGGGGGCAGGGGGCGTTACTGCTAGCACCAAAGCTGAGCTGGATAGCAACCAATGGCTGCAGATGCCTCACATGCAGTTTTCCCCATAATATGGACAATATTTTAAGTCTATATTTCTCTTGGGAGGATAAGCTGATAGAGTTGTTTTCACCCTTAGGAATACTAAAGCCATCTTTCCTTGGTTCTCCTTGAGGCTTTAACCCAATTTTTTTCTTCATTTACACAAGAATACAAGGGTGCTGCATCCTTTTGTGGGGAGGGGGGGTTCAGGATCTGAAGAAAGGGCCACGCACAAATGAAAGCACTAGATAAGAAATATGAATTTAGAAGGCATGGGGGGGGGGCAAGTGGAAACCTCCCTCTTGGAGAGGCATACTGACTTCTGGCCAGTCTGCTTTTTATTCACTTTTAGATACACATCTTGCCCCCAGTAAAGCACGGCCAACAGGTAGCAGGCAGGCAGTCTCAAAGGTTAGTAAAGATCAGTGAAGATTTACTTTGAGGCTGTCAGGTCAGGAAATTGCATAGAGCCACCACTATCTCAACAGAACAATTGGTGCATGGTATTTGCCCTGCTAATACCAAGGTCCATCGGCCTTCAGAGTTCCTTGATGCACTCTCATGATAGTATTGACAATGGATGGCTTCCCACACAAGGGTGTCCACTGGAGTGGCCAAAGTCAGTATCATTCACACCATGGCATGCTTGAAGTAAGGTAATAGGAACTCTTCTGTTCAAAGAGTTCTCTATCAGGGCAGACTGAGGTTATTCTGTTATTCTAAGGCAAATGGCTTTGGAAACGTCTCAGGGTCTTCAGTGTGCCCTTTGTAGGACTCTGGATCAGATGCACTGAATGAATATTCCAACACTGACACTAGTTTTGGGGGAAAAAAATGTAAGTCCTGAACTAAAAATCTGGTCTCAATATTTTGGAACCCATCATTGACAGTCTGAAGCATAGCCCGCATTGTGAATGTGAAGAATCCAGCCAGGAACCCATAAGAGACTAGGTGGAAGAGCACGATCAAACTCCTGCTCTTGGCCGTGCGCCCCAGGAACTCCCTAGTGGTCGGTGAATGATCCTGACTTCGGTTGGTGGTTGTAGATGAAGAGCTCCCACCCAGGCAGGCCCTGGCTGAAGGACTTTTTGTGTTTCTCTGTCATCGGGTGTGTGAGGAGAGCTGCAGCCACAGAGGCTGCGGGGAGCATGGAGGTGCATTCTGGCTCCAGAGGTGCTGCCTGGCTATGGGGGCAGAAGGTGGGACTGCAGAGAACACCTTCTCACTGTCGATCGTACCCAGGCCAGCTGCCATGCACTGGATGGGCTGCTGCTGAGGCTATGGGAGCTTGACATTTCTACTGCCTCAGCCAATCCCTGCACCACTGGACCCACAATGCTGCCACTGTCACCACCTCCCTTTTCTTTTTCTTTGCTTTCATTTCTTTTTTATGGCTGAACTAGTGACCTGGTGCATGGAGTCATGCACATTGAAAGGAAATTAATTAGAAGATGGCTGGTGGGGCAGGACTGGGTGAGACGGGCCGGACATGCCCTGGAGTCAACCTCCCCAGTCTGCTGCACCTGGCATGGCACCGTGGCTTGAAGGGCGTCTGTGGGGAGAGCAGGGTCTCTCCAGCAGGTGGGGTCCCTCGGCTTGGCCTGCAGGGATCGGCCGAAACCGGCTCTGACATCCCCCGAGGGGTCCCAGAGTGCGAGAGGGCACTCTGTAAAGTTGCCGTTGTACAGGGTGTGGAACGCAAATGCAAGTGTGCAGTAATCCAGATTTGGGACTGACAGTGCCCAGTAGCAACATAACCCATGGCTGAAGGTGGAATCACGTGTCCCCATGAGGAACCAGGCTCCCTTCTCTCTGGTTTTGGGGCGTGTCACCCAAGAACCGCTGCTGCCAAGTCACCGCAGCTCAGCAGCTCCTGGTGGTCAGTGCACATCATAGCTACCAGTTGGATGGATACATAGTATATTAGCCTTTTATATATATAGATAGTATTCCACCATATGAATACACCACATTTTGTTTACTCATCAGTTGATGGACAACTGTGTCTACTTTGGGGCTATTATGAATATGCTGCTATGACATTTGTGTACATGTGTTTGTGTGGATGTATGTTCTCAGGATGTTCCACTTCCAATGGAGTCTAGGAGTCATGGTAGGGAGTGGGAAGAAAGAATGAAGCAGACGGACCTGCTCACCAACTGGGTACTCGGAGCAGATGGGTGGGAGTGAGAAGGGTAGGCTCAAGATCCTGTTCTAGCCTCACTGGGAGACACGTGGGAGGCCAGGGTAGGGCTGTCCCCCAACTACTGCACCCCCGCATTGTTGTGCCAGATCTGACAGCCATTTGCTAGAAATAACTTGGCCCATGGTATTTTCCCTGGAAATCAGGTCCATTTTTTTCTGTGCCCTGCTGGGGCCCAAAATTAGTTAAACACATAGAGACTAGTGAGCCACACGCTTAGTCTAGAGGAGAAGAGTGTTGTCAACAGGAAGCTGGCCTGCCAGGCGAAAGAGGTGGTCAGAGAGACAAAGGCCAGTTAACCAAGTGTAAACCGAGGGAGTGGTTTTGTTTATGGGAAATGCTGCAGGTAGCTCCCTGGCCCCATTTGACAGATGAGAAAACAGAGGCACTGCAGTGAAGGAATCTGCCATTCAGAAACAGAAAGGGTGTTAAAACCAGAGTCTCCAGTTGTGCTGAGAGCAGCAGGAGCAGCAGGTTTGGTGAAACGTTGCCCGCAGTGCTGTGTCTGTTTTTGAGTTCACAGGAGAAGACCGTGGACACAAAAACAAGAATAGTTTATGTTGTTTTAGTCTCTGAAAAAACAACACCAAACTCCACCCCAGCCCCAAAGCAAAAACACAAAACAGGGCTTTAATTGCCGTCTTTTTTTTCTTTCTTTTGTTTTTTGTTCTCCAGCCAGAAAACATTATGTTGTTAGACAAGAATATTCCCATTCCACACATCAAGCTAATTGATTTTGGCCTTGCTCACGAAATAGAAGATGGAGTTGAATTTAAGAACATTTTTGGCACACCAGAATTTGTCGGTGAGTTTTAGGGCTATTTCTCTCCCAGTTAAGAATCTGATATCAAAAGGTAAAGAAATCCCAGTAACAATCCGGTGTCTGGGGCTATGGCTTCCGGGCTACGAGATGATGCCTTTGAGGCCCACTAGAAACTCAATGGGTGGGAAAGGAAGTGTCTTGCTGGGCCTTTGGGTGAGGGTCCCGGATTGGCTTGGGAAGGCCAGGTGGGGCTACTGGCCTTTGCAGAGTTAAACCTTCCCAGAGCTGGTCCCATCTCCTGCTCTTAGATGAGTTTGTTGTGAAGATTTAAAATTACCTCACCCTCTTGCATTCCTGTAAATTCAACTTTCTCTGAAAAGAAAAAGGGAAATCATCTGCCGGATGCCAGATCCTCCCACTCGCCTCTCTTGTATGCCTGTCCTTTATTTATGCACAGGAGGCCCACCTGCAGCAGGCCCAGGCGGCTCTCTCTTCCCTCTGTTTCTCCCACTCTTGGCCCAGGCCTCAGAAACCCTCTCATGGGGCTTGGGCTGCTGGTTGGGGTCATAAAGAAACAGCCTTATAAAGGGGAAAGGAATAAGAGTTGAGAACCACTGTCTCTGCTTTGGGAGTTAGAGTCTTGAAAATGGAGGGAAGATATCATCTCCCCAAAGCCCAGGGGCTGAAACTTCTGACCACAGTCTAAATAAAAAAGAAGACAGAATGTGTCAGGTCACTCACTCTGATGGATTTTTAGGCCACACTTACCAGCTCTGCAGCCATGATGGCATGGTGCTGCAGAGGCCCCACAGACCCACCGGCGGGGGTGGGTGCCAAGTACTATGCCTGGTGCTCTACAGACACTGTCTCGGTTAATCCTTAAACCACCTCGTGAAGCAGATTTACTTATTTCCTCTATCAAGAGCTTTGCTCAGGGCAAAACAACCAGTAGGTGGTGGAGCTGAGATTCAAATACAGATACATTAAACATCAAAGCCTTATTCACTTTCCATTACACTGGATTGTCTCTCTGAGGAGACCCTGCCCCAAGGAGCTTACAGTTTGTGGAAACAAGACATCAAGCCACCAAATAAGAGTTCTAGAAGACTCTTTGCAGATCATTGGTCTAGTTTTACAAACGTGGAACTGGAGGACTGGAGGATTTTAGTTAAGATCAACCAATGGTTATTCTTCATCTTTTGTATGGGAGATATTAGGTGAGGACTAGGGACAGACACAGTGATGGTAAGGAGCCGCATTCAGAATAACACACCCAAGGTCACACCATGAATTGGTGGCAGAGCAATTAATCATATCCTATCTCATGGCCAATCATCGCCCTGATTTTCTGATTGAACCATTTATTGTTATTAGACACTTGGCACGACTTAACAAAATAATATACATTTTACTACATATGTGAATGGTGGGCAGCAATTGCTATCTCAGAAAAAAGTTCAATAATAGATGTCTTATGTTCCAGGTTCAAGCTGGCTCTGCCACCAATTCATGGTGTGACCTTGGGTATGTCATTCTGAATGCAGCTCCTCAAAGACTGTTCAAACAAGATATCTAGCAAAGTCAATGGGATCAGTCAGGGCCTTGAACCAGTGAGGGACAAGGGCTGTTGTGGGTGGAGGAAGTTTCTGAGAGGGGTGGGGAAGGAGCCAGGGTAGTGGAGGAGCCCATTCCAGGTTCAGTCATCCATAGCAGGGGGATAGGGCCAGAATTAGTGCATTTATCAGAGACAATTCACTGTTCACTCTGGATGGAGCAGAGAGTTCACACAGACTGGTTATGTACGTGGGATGTTCATGAGTAGGGTCAAACTGTGGAGTGTTTTGCCCAGTTGTATGTTGATAAATGTCTAACAAATGGGTCTCAAAACAAAACCCTAACTTCTAGTATTTTTCAATTTCAAGCTATGAACATGTCACTGAGATCAGAGTTGTGAAGAGACGCTCACAGCTGACTCTTGTGAGACAGTATGAGCCAGTTCCAGCCCCAAACTGGCTTTCTGTGTACCTTACAGATTTGTAGGGCGGCTTCTCTAAGCCCCTGCCCAATCTCCGATGCCCGACTCTCCTGAGAAACAGGTTATAACCATTTTCCTTATTTCCATGATTTCTTTGAAATTTCAACCTGAGACCCAGGGTTAAAAACTTACTGTCAGCTTCCTGGAATGTGTTGGACCTGGTTTTCCAAAAGCCCTCCCGCTACAAAACTGGCCTCTTGAAAAAAATATTATTTTTAAAGCAATTTTGGACTCATAGGAAATGAGTAAGGGTAGTAACTTCTTCAGCATAATCTGGCTCACCCAAAAGCCACTGAAATGAATTTAGAACTGGATCAGTGAGCAGCAAGTTCAATAGAAGGACTGCTCCTAAAAGCAAGTACACATATCAGTATTTCAATCAGAGACTAGCAAGATTTAGATGTTCGAAGACATAAGATATTGAAATGATCAGATGCTGACTATAAAATAAATGGAATGTATATAGAAATATAAGGTAGAATCACAAGAATGAGCAAGCAACAGAGAGTGTCAAAGATGCCCAGGCAAATTCTAAAAGGAACCAGATAAAACTTTAAGAAATACAATCTATACTTGTAGAAATGTAAAACTCAATAAATGGACTAAACAGCAGATTATATACTGCTGAGGAGTGACTTGAAGAATTGGAATACTGAGCTGGAAAAAATTAGCTAGAGTACCACAAACGGACAGACCTAGAAATATGAGAAAATAAGAGAATGAGGATAAAAAAAGAAAGCCTAACATAGGTCTATTTGAAATCTCAGAGGAGAGAACAGAGACAATAGAGAGGCAACATTTGAAAAGAATAGCTGAGAATTTTCAGAACTGATGTAAAAACAGAAACCGAAAGGACAGTGTGCATCAAACAGAAAACAAAAGAAAATAAATCCATACCTAGCCACATTATAGTTAAACTCTAAAGTACCAAAGACAAAGAAATCTTAAAAACCAGCCAGAGAGAAAAGATAGATCACCTACAAAACCAGAAACAAACAGTAATGAGACTAACGGCATACTTCTCAAAACAACAATGAGGCAGGGGAGGGTCAGGGAGGGGGAGGTAAGAGATCAACCAAAGAACTTGTATGCCAAAACAACAATGGAAGCCAGTGTCCAATAGAATATTATCTACAAAGAGCTGAGGAAAAAAACAATAGTTGTGTACCCAGGAAAATTACATTTCAAGAATGAGGGTAGTGCTTCCTTCGGCAGCACATATACTAAAATTGGAATGATGCAGAGAAGATTAGCATGGCCCCTGCATAAGGATGACACGCATATTTGTGAAGCATTATATGTATAAAAGAAGAATGAGGGTAAAAGATTCAGGTAAAACAAAGCAAAAAACAATAAAAACAAAACATAATCAAATACCAGCAGACCATTTTTTAATGGAATTTCTAAAGGATATACTATGAGTTAAGGAAAATGACCTCTGAAGGGACATCTCAATATAAGAAGTAATAGGAACAAATAAATCAGTCAACATTATGCAAACATAAACATTTCCTATTTAAAATAATGATGAAGTTTTAAATATGAGGGTAAAAAAGGACAACTAAAAACTGAAGAAAATAATGCAAATAGGACAGAATGCTTGAAATTAGGGTCTTATATTAGTAGAGGAAGGTTAAGATGTTGACTTACGTTAGCGTTTGTTAGATAGGCATAGTAAAGTCTCAAGGTAGCCATTACAAAAATATAAGTGTGTGTGTGTGAACACTAAGAAAAAAAACAAAAACAAAAACAGAAAGGATGAAAATGGACAAACAAAAACACATAGAGGATAGAAATGATACATAAGTATATTGAATAGAGATAAGGACTGGAAAATGGTTGCACTTCTCACACTGAATGTCAAAGTGCTGTATGTGTCTCTAAATGCTTCCTCCCAATTTCTGTATGTCTCTTGTCTGGACCAGTGACAATTTGCAGACTATTCATCTGTGGACCACACTTTGAATACCACTGTCCTAGACAAAATCTTTCATGTGTGTGCCAGGTTACATGTACAAAAAGTAGTTCACATAAATGGTGTTTTAATAACAAAAGAAGTGGAAACCATCCAAATGATCACTGAGAAGATAGTAATTAAAAAAATGATATGTGTATATCTGCACAAGGGATGATTAATTAGCGGAGAAAATGAAAGACCGTGGATGATCATTCAATGGATGCCTGAAGCATAATGTTGAGTGAGGGGGGAAACATCAAATGACAGTGGATCACATGCAGTATGCCATCATTTTTATGAAGCTGAAAAATAAGCAAAGCTAGAAGAATGGCTTCCCGTTTCTGCAAGTAGCGAGAGGTGGGAGGGTGGAATGGTGGGTGGCTTTGATATTGTCCTAGGTCAACCAACTTAGCCTTTCCCACTCCCTATCTTATTCCATTAGTCGTGAAACAGGCTCAATCCTTCTCCCTGCTCCAGCCTCTGCCCTCTCTTTCTCTTCCATTTCATAGGCAACCTTTTTTTTTTTTTTTTAAAGAGTTGACTACAAACTTATCTCCACTCCCCACACTCAGGGCATTCTTTGGCCTCTGCAGTGAGTGTGAAATGCAATACTCACTTGCCAGTGCTTGTCTGCTTGACCTCTGGGCTGCATTTAGTCTCCTTTTTCTCTCAGTAGAGTCTTCTTCCCTAGGCTCCGCACCCTCTCCTGGTCACCACATCATTTGCACAATTCCTGTTTCCACCTATACGATGACTCCAAATTTGATAGCTCTGGCCCACTCCCCAATGCCCAGCTTCTTCCTGGACACCTTCCCCCGGATGCCTCTCAGGCACCTCAAGTTCATCATCTGGACCCCAGAATGTCCTTCTGACCCTCAGGTGGGAGGTACCCTCCTTCAGACCAGACTTGGAGGAATGTGTATTCCCTCTCTGCCATCTTCTCCATCACCTTCCAGTGCTGACCTGACTGGCTTCCACCAGAGAGTTCTCAAGTAGACCTTGTCACTAGGCCCCATTTCCCCTTCTTGCATCTTCCTCTCTCCGCCCTCCTCTTCCTTTTCCACACGTTCCTTTGTGCTCTCCTCACTATCAAGGCCTCTTTGTAAAAGGTTTCTACCAGGATAACAGGCAACTAACTTCCTCAAAATTCTTAGAGCTGGATTATCCCCTTCCTTTGTTCTGACTTTCCTTAGTGGGGATTCAGGATGGAGACATTTGGTATCAAACTCCCTAAAACTCCCTACAGCCATCTCTTCCATTTCCATACTCCTGCTGACTCTTCCATATGGCTTCTTGCAGCTCCAGAGATTGTGAACTATGAGCCCCTGGGCCTGGAGGCTGACATGTGGTAAGTAGTGTAGGCCACCCAGGTGGTCTAGGGATCCTCCCACAGGCAGAAGGCCTCAGACCCTGGCTCTGGCTGATATCCCTCTTGACCGTGAAAACCCCTTTCTCCACGCTCTCCTTTCAGAGACTCTGGCTGCTCCACGAGTGCTGGGTCTGAGGCCTGGGCAGCTGGAGGCAGGTAGGCCTGGAGATGAGGCCAGTTAGAGCATGGCAGAGGCAGAGAACAAGGGGAGAGCTGAGGCTGAGGTCCAGGATCCACCGCTGAAGCCTGCCACGGCCATGATGGAGATAATGTAGTAACAGCTCTTTCAGTCAGTCAACCAAGTGACACTGAGAGCCTCGTGTTCCAGGCTCCGTGGTGGGCTTGGGGATACCACAGTGATTGATTCTCTGCACAGACAGGACTTGTTTCATGTGGACAGTGCTTTATAGTTGGCTGAGCCCCTTGATGAGTTGGTTTTCTAAAATCCTCCCAGCAGTTCTGTGAGGTAGTTATTATTGTCCTCACTGTGTGAGGAGAGAGAGACTCAGAAGTGTTAAGGGACTTGCCCCAAGCACAGCCTGCAAGTGCAGGAGTCTGATCTTAAACTTGGGTCCTTGGACTCAATGTCCAGAGTGTGATGACTCCACATGCTTCCCTGGGTGCTGCTGAAGAGTGGGATGGAGAGGACTGTGGAACTCGAGATGGCCTTCAGAAGCCACCATGGAGGGGCAAGTGGCCACTTCCCCTGAGAACCATGCGGGGAGTCCCTTGCTGGTCCGGCATTAGAGCCAGGAGGCCCTGACTTGACTGTGCTTTGTTTTGCAGGAGCATAGGCGTCATCACCTACATCCTGTGAGTATCCCTGATTCCGGATGTCCCAGCTCAGACCTGGGGGAAGCAGGAGGAATGAGAGAGATGCAATCAGACAGACAGATTGACACTGAGCACCCACCATAAACCAGATGTGTTCGAGCCACACAGCAAACCCGAGGCTAAGCCCTCTTAGCTCCATTTCACACATTTGACCCTGGGGTTGGAGTTGGGCAGGAGAGCAGCCTGTGGCCCTCCGCACTGTGCAGCCTGTGTCTGCATCCCCACCGTGGCCGGGGCCCACCTCTCTGCTTCACCCAGACCAAAGTTTGCTGTGAGAGTGTCAGTTTTCACTCAGAAGCCTTGTGATGACAGCTCTCACGTCATTATGCCCTCCCTGATCCTGCCTCCTTCTCTCCCTTTCTCCCTTCTTTCCCCAGCTCTCACTTCTCCCTCCTCCTTTCTCCCTGGAGTTTCTCCTTTCTGTTCCTGAAGTTTTAAGTCGCTCAAGCAGAGATTTCCTGCATAGCTCTGTGTGTAGTGGATCTGACACTTTCCATCTCCGTGGCCTTGGCAGATTCTTAACTCTCTCTGGGCCTGTTTTTCTCATCAGAAAAATAGGAATCATGAACGTCCCACCAGGGGTGTGTTCTAAGGGTTAAATAAGCTGACATGTGCAAATTTCCTGGCACTGCTCTGGCACCTAGAACATGGCTGATTAGTGGTTGTTTATTCCATCAGTGCTTCCCAACCAGTTTCCCCCCACAGCACACCTGGGAAATGCTATTTCTGTGACACATTGGGTGAGAGTCAGCCCACAGCCAGACTCAACAGCTGATGGGGTCATTCTCCCTACACCCCCATACACTAGTTTTCTGGCCAGCAGTACTTGGACTGGGGGCTCTGTACAATGTGGGGGACCCCCTTGAGCTGCAGAGAGGGACTAAACCCTGACTGTACATAAGACCTTTTGATACCACCACGGTCGAGGCCCTACCCCAGATCTATTAAATTAGAACCCCTAGGGGTGGGATCTGGGCACCAATTATTTTAAAAGCCCCAGAGGAATTCAATGCAAAGAGAGAGAATTTGATGCATTGCTCTATAGTTCCAAATCAGAGCCAGAATAGTCAGATGTTGGCTCTTGAAACATTGGTTCCTTCAGAACTCTGGTGCCCACATTGAAATGTTAAAGAATCCCAGTGTGTATAGGGCACATAGACTTCTTGTAGCTCATTTGAGTTCCGTACAATTTTTTGAGCGCCTGCTCCATGGTGGGCATTGTGCTAGGCACTTGGGATAGTGACATGATGGAGAGTCTGCCCTGCTAGTCTGGAGCTCTCTGTGTTGGGGTGGGGTGGGGAATGACTCCAGGTAGCTAACTCTCACCCAGTGGGACCAAGGTTATGGTGGAAGTATGAGCCCGTCTCTGTAAGACACAGATGGGAGAGGCAATGGTCTGCTGGGGCTTCAGAAGGTTTAATGGGTTTGGGGGAAGAGAAGGAGCTTTATTGATTGACCTGATTTGAACTGGACTGTACAGAATGAGGTTAATTCTCCAGGTATAAAGGGATGGAAGGAATGTCCTGCTCAGGAAGGAAACAGCATGTTAAATGTGGTGAAATAGATAAGGAATGTGTTAGGGACTAACTCCTGATGCCTTGCTCAGGAGTTTAGATGTGATCCTATAGAGAGCATGATTTCCAACTGGTGTGCCACAAGCATTTTTAAAACATGCAATACCCGACTAGTTAGTCAGGGGCACTGACCTCTTTTCCCTGAGGTTGTCAAATTAAAAAATGACAACAGCCAACACAACAATAGCTGTCTGGTGTGATTGAATCAAAATTATACCTACCTTTTATCAGATCAACAAAAATATATTTTTGGCGTGCTGCAGAATTTTAGTAATTAGTTTATGTGTACCATGAGGCGAGAAAGGTTGAAAATTGCTCCTAGAGAAAATGGGGAGCCATAGAAGGTTCTTTGTGTTCTAATAACGACGATAATAATGGCCACCAATTTCAGATCTTTAATGAGGGCCATGATTGTATGGATCATTTTATATACGTATTTACTCTTCACAACAATCATGTGAGGTGGAGACTTAATTTCTTCATTTTATAGACAAGAAAACTGTAGATCAGAGAAGCGGAGTAACTTACCTAGCTTGAACCTAGGATTGAAATGTCAAATATTTTCTTGTGCACTATGCTGAGAAAATGGCAGTGCGGATGGCGATGACTTTCAAGAGATATTTGACCAACAAAACTTTCTGACCAGTTGGATGAGGTGAGGAAATGGAAGGAAGAATCAGAGGTGACCCCTGTGTTTCCAGCTCGGATGCATTTGTGAAGTAGCATCATTAATCCCGGCAGGGAGTTCAAGGAGGGAGGTTTGGGCACAGTGACTTCTGGGAAAATGGCACCTCTAGGTAGAGGTTTCCCATAAGCAACTGGCATATGTGTTAGGAGACAGTAGATTCGGGAGTCACTGCTTAAATGACGCCTCCTTCACAAACCTTGCAGGGCAACCTCACACCCCCTTCTAGTCCCTAATGGCACAACTGACGCCAGTGTCAACTCTCCCATGAAGCCTGCACTAGGCCTCCCCTCCATCCTGTGCTCCCACAGTCCTTTGTCTGTCCTTCTATTATATTCCACTTTGTTCTGCTGTGCTTCTCTCCCTTCCTCTTTCCAGTCTCCTGAAGATACAATTTCTGTCAAGTGCTTAGTGAGAGCTCCATAAAGTGTATTGAATTGGACTCAGTTAAAAAAGCTGCTGACTGGCTGCCCAGAGGGGTCAGGCAGTGTTGCTGGGAGCTCCCAACCCCATGCAATCGTATGGGTCAGGGTTCCCTGAGTCCATCACCCCCTATTCATCTACTTTCCTGTAGTCACGTGTTCTCTCTCTCTGTGCTCAGCCTAAGTGGAGCATCCCCTTTCCTGGGAGACACGAAGCAGGAGACACTGGCAAATATCACAGCGGTGAGTTACGACTTTGATGAGGAATTCTTCAGTCAGACCAGTGAGCTGGCCAAGGACTTCATTCGGAAGCTTCTGGTTAAAGAGACCCGGTAAGAGGACAGAGAAAGGCACGGCCTTCTGAGGTACTAGCCTGCACCTGTTGCCCTTCCCCAAGACATGTCAGTCTGTCCCCACTTTCTCACGGGCTGTCATCTGTGCCATTGTGGTCTAATCTGGGCAGGTGCTGAGAAGTGTGGACTGGCATTCATCTTGTTTGCTCAAGTCTTTCTGCTTCTTTTCCTGCAGAAAAGCAAATAACTACATGTGGTGTGTGCACAGTGTGTATCTGTGTGTGTGCAGTATTTGTGTGTGTGTGTGTGTGTTTGGAAGTCAGCCTGGGTTTCTCTGGGACACATTATCTTGTGCAGTCTGTCCCCAAAGCACCAGGAACTAGAATTTGAAAAGGAAAGCAGCAGGTTTCAAACCAATTCAGGTGGGGAGGTGAGCTCAGAGAGGCCAAAAAGTGGGAGAATAGGAGACATAGTAATCCTATCCCTTCTTCAGGACTGAGGGTGAGCTCTGTGGCTGTGGGGTCACAGTGGGAAATGGGCAGGGAATTGTAGGGAGTTAGGTGCTCGGAGCATTGCCTACCTGGGGCAGGAGTAAGGTCTACAGATTCTACAAGGTCATGGCTTCTTGATCCTACAGACTTTGGAGAGAGCCAGAGTGGGGTCCTTTACAGTACAGGATGCCGATTTCTCCAGCTAAGGGCAGTGCTAGGCAGCAGCACCCTACCTGGGTACAGTGAAGGCAGAGCTGAGAAGGGATCTGGGAGGCAAACAGAGACCAAAGGTTTAACAAGGGAAAGTGGGAAGCTCAAAAGAGCACTTACGACTCTCCTATAGTGTGGCGTTAGGCCCTTCCGCTTTGGGACCAAAGACGAGGGTTTATGTATTGTCACTCTACAGAGGAGTCAGTTTGGACCATGTTCTCGAGTGCAGAGAATCCAGCCAGTTCCCCATCCCCCATTATTCTGGTTTGATGGCAGTGATCAAAGAATGCCAAAATGCTAGTCCAAGAAGAGTAAGAATGAAGACCTTTGCTCTTAGCTTCTGTCCTCATGGGTCACCTCTATTTCTGGTCCTCATTGCAGGAAGCGGCTCACAATCCAAGAGGCTCTCCGACACCCCTGGATCACGGTAAGGGCACAGTGATGCGTTCCAGTGAGCAGGAAGGTCTCCGCTCTGTCGCCAGGGCTGGCTGGGGTGGCCGCATGCAGAGGACCCTTGAAATACTGATCCATGGGCACAGCTGAAAGCTAGTTGGAAGGCCCCAAGTTTCTGGGCCTCTTTCAAATAGGTTTATAGGTTTAAGATTTTATTTCATGGGTTCAAGTGACTTATAAAATGCAACCGTCACAAACCTTAGTTGTAACCCTTTTTCTCTAGGGACATCTTACAAAGTGTTCTTTGTCGGATGATGTGTCACTCTTGTTCCCGTTGTAGAGAGAGATTGGTAACAATGAAAGTCTCAGCTTTGTAACCAGGGCTCCTTCTGACTTTTGGGGCTCTGAGTAAGGAGGACACTAAACCAGTCACCTGGCTTCCTCAGGCACCGTGAGACCTCAGGGAATGGGGCTCCGAGATGGAGGCCTGGTGGGAAGAGGCAGCCGCTCTCTGTGGGCAATTCCGTTCCCTCTGGGGAGGACAGGGGCACAAAGGCGACTCCCTGCCTGACCTGCTTTGTAATTGCGCTTCCAGCTGCTGGTTTTCCAGAGGTTTTGTGGTCTAGTCACAGTAAAGTGCTATGAGAAGCCCTTTGGGGCGGTGGGAATCAAGAGACTGGGGCTCTGGCCCTATTAGTTCTGTTAACTGAGCAGATGTGTACTCCAGGCACATAGTAGGACTTCTAATGCCCTTGAACTGTTTGTTAAATGAGAGAACTGGCGAGGATGATCTGAGGGTACAGAAGAGGGGGTGAGGGGAAGGGCTGGAGTGCTCCAGAAAGATCAGATTCCTCTACTCACTGAAGGATGAGGAAGGGCCCTCCAGGTTTAGGGTGAGCTCAAGGCACAGGGCTAGGGAGTCTCTTGGGCTGCCTCCTTGCTCAGCCTGCTGAGTGTTGCAAGGTCCAGGCGGCTGACTGGCCCTGAAGGCAAGAGGCCACTCAGCCGCCCACTGTGAGACCTGGCCCTGCGTGCTCCCGGCCTTGAGTAGATGCCTGCGGAGTGCTGCAGCCTGCCTGTCTGTGTGAGCGCCCTAAACGCTATGCGTGTGAAGACCCTCTAATGCCGAGGGCCACCCTGCCCTGAAGTGAGCATGCAGGCAGCACCCTGTACTCCTCACCTTATGATGGTCTGTAGGGGTGCTCATCCCACCCTGGTCCTCCACATGGCCTGGCGCATGCAGTGAATGCCAGAGGCTGCTTGTGTGCCTTCTGCCTCCAGCTCGGACTGCCCTTTGGAGCAGGAGTCAAATTAACTCTGGTCTTCTGTCTAAACACCCACCAGTCCAAAGGAGAAGCCAGAGCCCCAGAACAGCGGAAGACAGAGCCCACCCAGCTGAAGACCAAGCGCCTGAGAGAGTACACCCTCAAATGCCACTCCAGCATGCCTCCCAACAACACCTACGTCAACTTTGAGCGCTTTGCTCATGTGATGGAGGATGTGGCTTGGGTTGACCAGGGATGCCACGCCCTGGCAGGGGCCCATGACACCATCCAGGATGATGTGGACGCTTTCGTTTCCATCTTCAATGAGAAGGAAGCTTGGTACCGAGAGGAGAGTGAGAGTGCCCGGCATGACCTGTCCCAGCTCAGGTACGAGTTCCGCAAAGTGGAGTCCTTGAAGAGGCTCCTGCGAAAAGACATCCAGACCACAGGCTCCAGCCTCGGAAGCGTGGCCAGGAAATTGGACCGTCTGCAGGGGCAGTTTGAAGCTCTGAGGCAGGAGCTCTCAGCAGACCTACGGTGGCTCCAGGAGCTGGTGGGCAGCTGCCAGCTGGAGAGTGGGAGCACAGATGGCCTGGGCTCTGTGTTCTGCCGGGACGCCAGTGAGCCCCTAACGGAGCTGCGCAGCAGACCAGGCAGCGACCAAGTCTTGGCCGGCTTGGAGCTCTGAGGACCAGAATCTCGTCGGCAATGCCTCCTGGATGGCTTGCAGAAGCATGTTCCAACGGCCCTGCTGGGCATCAGCTAGAGTTATCCTGCAGGGATGTATGTCTGTAGCATAGACTTCCACCCCCTTCCCAGAACCCAGAATCACAGAGGTACTAGCGAGTTATTCATTCTGCACCTCCTCTCACCAACCTGGTTTTCTGGGATGGGGGATTGGCAGGGCAGCCAAGCTGTGAAAACAATTGAGAATAAACAGCCTTCAATGTATCTTTCTCTAGCGGGAGGACAGCTGGCTCTGGGGAAATGCTTGATAACTGATGTGTGATCATGGATTTGTGCACATTTCACTTCCCACCTATATGCCTTGGGGGTGGCAGATCTTGGGTAATATTGAGCTAAACGGGGGTAATAGTAAGTCAGCTTGGTGCTTCCCTGCTTCAGAAGGAGGAATTTTAAATGCACAGAGAAAATATTACTTCTCATTTGCATTGACATCGCTTATCAAGCACTTATATCTTTGATCCTTAGGTCTTTGATCCCTAAAATAACTTTGCAAGACAGGAAAGTCGGTGGCATTATTATTGCTATTACTATTATTTTCATTTATCTGATAAGGAAATTGACTCAAAGAGGGAAAATGATTTTCTCAGGGTCATTCATAGCTGGTTGATACAGATGAAACAGAAACTCAGGATGCCTGACTCTAAGATGAGGTATATGGGAAGAAATTGCGAGACTTTGATGTAAATATCCATCTTAGTATTAAAGTTCAGACCCCAGCGGTAAAATAAGCAACTTCACGTATTCTGCCAGGTATGGATGGAATGCTTCGTACCTTCAGATGATGGAGGAATATGTCCTAGAGGGCGCAGTCATGGCCCTGAGCCTGTCTGAAGCCCAGCCCACAGAGCAGGAGGAGGGCAGCATCTCACCCTTCTCCAGCTGTCTCCCTCTGGCTAAGGGCCTCAGTTTTGTGTTGGGAATGAATACCAAACAGGACTCAGCAAGAAGGTTCCTTTTCTTACGTTCTTAGGGCATTGGGCCCTAAAAAGTCAGAGAAACTCCATGAGAGTTTTTGAAGAGGGGGACATTAAGACTGGGAAGCATAAGGTTCAGTCGTCCCCTCTTGACCCCAAGCTTTGAGCATACCCTCTGAGGACTGTGTGGTCTTATCACCCTTTTCCCAGAGGAGCACCCATCATCTGGCTCATAGAGACAGAGCATGAGTGTGGGCCCAGAACTGTGCTAGAAGCTTGGGGGTTGGGGAAAAGATGTATCATTTCCAAGTGTCTTAATAGACTCACAACATACCCTTGTCAGAGAAGCAGGGTAAATGCTATTCCCAGTTTAGAGAGGAGGAAACAGAGAGGATGTGATTTGCCCAAGGGCATAATTGTGGCAAAAGTGGAGGTATCCTGAGACATCTGTTGCCTTCCTGCTTCCCCTAACTGCCCCAGGCTTCAGGAGTTTTCTCTGCTTCCGAGGCAGGTGATATGCAGATTCAACCATCCACCCATTCTTAAATGGTTTCTGAGCACCTAGCAACTGCCAGGTACTTGGTTTGGCCCTGGAGATACAAAGCTAAGAGAAAACAGGCATGTTTCCTGCCTTAACAAAGTCTGCAGTCCAGTGAAGGATTCCAACATTAATCAAGAACATTCTAGAAACGTAGAACTGAAGCTGAGACATATGCTGGGAATGAGAAGTATGAATTACTGTAAGAGCCTGCAATGAGGGTTTGATCTAATCAGGGAAGGCATCCACGAGGTGGTGATGCTGAGCTGAGATCAGCTAAGCACACTAGGGAGAAAGAATTGTTCCCTACAGAGCCCTCACGCCATGGCTCTGTGGTCAGAGGGGGCATGGGAGGCTGAAATTACATAGATAGAAAGAAAGCTGGAGGGGAGAGAATAAGAGGATTGTATACATGTGACTGGAGAGGATGCAGGACCGGCAAGGCTTTGCCATATCAAAGACCTCTGCCTTTGTCCCAAGAGTCATGGGGAACCATGATGGATGCCAGGCTAGTCAATGGCCCGATGTGCTTGGGGGAAACGCCTAGTGAGCAGCACAGATGGGAAGTGGTTTAGGAGGAGACATGAGATTTTAATCTCATGAAAGCATTTCCTCAAAAGTCTACCTCCTTTTCTATTAGCATGCTGGATCATTTCAAATATATATAATATTGTAACAAACTTTTTTCATCAAATAGAAGAAACCGTATTTAAGATGCATCATTATTTTATGTACCAAAAATAAGAAAGATAAAAAGCCCCAGATGAGAAGTCCAATAGGAGACCCCCCCACACACAAAGGAGAACACCTGTACTAAGACGGTAAGTGACAAGGCCACCGTGAGAAAGGAAAAGCAAGAGAATGTGAATCCCAACCTTTTCCCTTGGGGCGGGATGACAAACCCTCCTCTAAGAATAGACGCTCCGGGTGGTGGTCCTCATCCTTTGTGAATTTGCACAATCGGCGTGATCCAAAAGGACCTCAAGCAGAGACTCTAGGTCAGACAGCCTGAGACTGGTGGCCCCAATGGCTGGCGGAAATAGACTGAACACCTGCCTTCACTTCAGACCGACAGTTATGATAAGATGCCATTGATTGGGAGACAAGTCCTGATTTCAGAGATCCAAAACTGTGCGTCTTGGAATCAATAGAAGATGGCAAAGCCGTTCCTATGCCTTCCCTGGGAGAATTGGGACAAATGACCCATCTGCCATCTCTCCAAGGATGCCCTGTCCCAGGATGTGACGTACTCATTTGGCATAAGGCACTGTTCCTATTAAAGGGTCCTTTGGCCATGTCAACACACCTTGACCTCACACAGCCAGGTTTCCTAAGGAAAGGAAGCCCTGACTGAGCAACTCAGGGGAAACTTTCTTGTGGATGTCGAAATAAAATGCAATTGAAGAGTAAGACGTTGATGATGATTTGAATTAGAGAGATTGGGAAGAGGGAGGGATACGTTTCTTTTAGAATTGTGGCAGCAGCCACAGGCTCTCCAGGCAGGGAGGTCCTCAGAGGTGAACCACCAGACACCCTTGCAGCACTTTACAGGGCAGGACTTGTCTGAAGTTCACCCAGCTAGTCAGAACATAGGAGGTTTTCCTCACAGGCGTGGAATTGTCCTCTTTATGTTCAAGTCCAGTCATTGGTATCGATTTGTCACTTAGACACTTTATAAACAGATCCTTTTCTGGCCTAAGAACTTCCAAGGACAAATAGCAGTGAACTGAGAAATGCCCCCAAGTGTTTCAGGGAAACCAGAGAAGAGTGTAACCTTCCCCGTCACCTGGCCAGTCCAACATGCAGCACCCTTTGGCTTCAGAACCCGAGGAGACCCAGCTGAACTTCTCCCCACACGCCCACAGCTGGAATTTTAGCAACGGGGTCAAGGGCAGGGTGGGCCTGATGGTCCCTAGGCACTTGTCCACTTGTCCTTAGATGGAGAAAGGCCTGGGGCACTGCTCTGTGGGCAGACCCAGCTGCCGTCAGATTTTTCATTCACTAGGCTGTTAATGAAAGATCGGCGCTGTGCTCTGTGCAAATGCCATTCTGGACTCTTGGGGCGGGGAGTGTGAGTATGTGACATCTTCCTGAATAATGGTTCCCAGGGAAGCTGGAATGGGCTCCTGGGGAAGGCGGCAGCCTGTCCCTGCTCTGAAGGGCATGCACATGGCACACAAAGGGGGGGTACCACTGATTCTGCGATGCAGGCGGCTGGCCTTGAAGGGGTGTGAGGAATAACAATGACAGGAGAAGCCAGAGTCTGCTCCATGCACCTGCTCCCAGCACTGCCCACGCTCCCCTACAGGTGATTATGGACATGGAGGCTTCCCACCTCACTCCATCACATGGTGCAGTCGGCCCCTTGGGAGGTGGCTTTGTGCCCCGATGCCATCCCCGCTGCAAATGTCTATGGAACTGAATGGCCTTTTCTCCTTTGTCTGTGGAACTCTTGGCCTGTGGAGAAGGCTCTGCCCTGGAGCTGAGACCCAGCAGTGGGCATATTTGAGGAGCAGAAGGGGCCAGTTCAGTGGAACAAACACTGATTGTGCTCAGCTCTGGAGGGAGGTGACAGATACGGACAAGACAACTCCTGAGTAAAAGATTCCATTTCTGGGATAAATGGGGACCTAACCCACTGAGAGACACGAGAGGCCGTGGTGATAAAATAGAGGTACCCAATATTCCAGAAAACAGGAGAGAGATGAATTCTGATTGAGAAAAGTTGAGAGGGGAGGCCAAGGGCAGAAACATTCTCAGCACCCTCCCCTCCCCCACCCCAAACTGTAGCCTTGGAGAACAGCTGAATAGAATTCGGAGGGCTGGGGATAAACCCAGATTGGGGCCAGGACCCTGGACTGGGAAGTGGAAATTAAAGAGAAGATTACAGAGATTAAAAAGCGAGTTTTTATTTTTAACTTTTTGTTATGGGAATTTTTCAAAACCTGCTAAAATTATTGAGAACGGTGTAGTGAATTCTATGTACCGATTACCCAGCTTCAACAGTGAGCAAGTTGTGGCCAGTTCTGTCTCATTCATCTCCACCGTTACTTTTTCTGGAGTATTTCAAAAGCAAATTCAGACTCATTTAACTCACAAATTCTTCAGCTGGAATCTCTGACAAGGACTTTTCCTATTAATATCACTACTGTGTCATTATCACACCTGACAAAATCAGGATGAATTCCTTAATGTCATCTGCATACACATTCCGTACTCGTGTCCCCATTTTCTCAACGATGATCTGTCATCGTTGGTTTGTTCAGATCAGGATCCAAACAGCATCCACACGTGGCATTTGGTTGTTATGCCTCTCTAGTCGCCTGTCTTCTGTGAAGTACAGAAGGGGGAGCTTTGGAAGCTTTTCCTGGGGACGGAAAATGGCTCAGAAGACCGAAGGCCCTGGAGAGTGGATTAAAAGTGAGAGTTTCCATGCTGAGATCTAACTGGGAAAAGTGAGACCGGATCAGGCAAAGAAAGGGGCATTCTTGCCTCTTCCCATTGACTTTGTTTGATGTGGGGACAACCTGCAGGGACACATGGTTTCTGCAGCTCTCCCCACCCGTTTATAAGGAGGCAGACTCAGGCACCTGTGAGCTTCACACGCTCCTTTCAGGAGGTGAGTCTAGGTAGAGTCTAGGCTTCAGCCAGGAAACCAGCCAGCAAAAGGCAGAGGTGGAGGGGCTGCCTATAGAGAGATCGGGGAGAGGGGGCTAGAGTAACAGACCTGGACAGGAGAGGGCAGTGGGCACCCAGGTGTCCCTGGTTTTCAGTGGAGGATGGGGCTGGAGAAATGGCACAGATGGAGGTTTGAAAACTTGCAATCTGTTTGCAGTTTCTAGAGGAGGCTTGGTATTTAACGAAAATCTTCCGGAGTGCCTCTTCTGAAGAGCCAGGTTTCTTTTTTATGCCTGGAGGATGGCTGCTGCTTCATCCCCCTGCTCTGTGGATGAGGGTGCTGGCCTAGGTCACCCCACTGGGCTTTTTCAAAGGCATTTGCACCTGCAAAACAAAACCTGACTTCGGCCACAGCATTCTGTCTTCTTGCCTCTCTGACATTTTTCTGAGACACACAAATGCTCCTAGGAGCCTGGTCAAAATTGCCCAGACTCTCTGGTATCCCCAAGGACTACAGGCCGGAGGAAGGTGGGCACTGTCTGTTTGCAGAGAGATGGGGGTGGGGTCAGGCAGAACATAGCTCCATCTCCCTCATACTCTCAATTTATCAAAAGTGTTGGTGCCACGTTCCTTCTGGGAACAGATTTCACTACAGAATTTACATCTCTGATTTTCAAGGCTTAGATGAGAGTGTCAGCATTTGGTGAGCTCTCTTAGCAACCAGGGAGGCTGTTGGTTAGGAAAGGCCAGGCTGATAGATTTATAGCCCCGGTAGCCTCGTCAGAGCTCATGCTATTTTGTGTAGCATATAGACAGGGCCCTAGAAGGAATTGCATCACCTCCCATGAATGGTCTCTGCGGATGATCCCACCTGATATTTTAGTTGGGCCTCTCTGCTGTCACTGGCACTGCTAGACCAGTTGGAAGATGGGATTCTCATAAACAGGACTCCTCTAGCCTGCATGTTAACCTTCCAGCCATGGGGTCTAGGCATCTCTCTCCTGGCAGTGGTGCCAATCAGTAAGTGGATAGACTCCTCCCGTCTCATCAAACTCTCCAAATGGAGTACAAGTGTCCCCTGCAAGGGTTAGGGCCAAAGGTGAATTGCAGGCATTAGTGAAGTTAGAGGTAGAAATGTTCTGTGGATTGGGGCCGGGGGTGGGGCCGGGGGGTGGGGCAGGAAATCACATTGGAAAGGAGACACTAGTTGCTGGGAGGTGCAGGAGAGAGGAACTAACAAAAAAAAACAAATAAATGCAGAATAAAATGACAGTGACACATGCTGGGAAAAAGTAGGGCACAGGCACAGTGAGTTCTGTGGAGCTGCTGGGTGCTATCCTATATAATAAAAGGGTAATATGCAAATTAACCCTAATAGCAGAATGACTGGGAATGACTGATCACAAGAGGTCCAGTGCACAAAATTCATGCACTGGGTGGGGGTGGTCTCTCAGCCTGGCCTGCACCCTCTCACAGTCTGGGACTCCTCGCTCCTTACCATCCACCTGCTCGCTGCTTCTTACCACTCGCTCGCTGCTCCTTAGCGCTGCCGCGGAGGCGGGAGAGGCTTCCGCCACCACTGCTGCACTCACCAGCTGTGAGCCCAGCTTCTGGCTGAGATGTGTGCTCCCGCTGTGGGAGTGCACTGACCACCAGGGGGAAGCTCCTACATTGAGTGTCTGCCCCTGGTGGTCAGTGCACATCATAGTGACCGGTCATTCTGGTCGTTCTGCTATAACAGTTGCTTAGGTTTTTATTATATAGATGATCAAGGAAGGCCTCTCCGAGGAGGTGACATTTAAGCAATGACCAGAACAAAGTGACAAAGTGAATATGAAGGAGCAAGGGCAAAACCCTGAGACTGTGAGTTCCTGGACTAGCAAGCAAACCTGTGTGGTGGGAGCCACAGCGATAGGAATGGGAGAGGGAGGAAATCAGGTTGGAGCAGGACCCAGGTGGTTCAGGCCTTGGGGGTCTTGGTGAACGTGTTGAGTTCCATTAAGAGTGTCAGGAAGCTGCTGGAAGGCTTTGATACCAGGAATGGGCAGGCTCTGCTCTCTTCTGCGTCTCCCTTCCAGGTGAGATCTCAACCCAAGGCCGGGCTTGCAGGTGTGGCAGAGGAGGTGAAGGCAATTAAGGAAGGAGTGGGAGAGCTGGCCCAATGCTCCCTCAGTGCCCTCTGCTCTTCTCTTCCCTCTCCATCTTTCTTTCTCCTCTCCCTCCCTTCTTTGCTCCTGTGCCCTTTGATCTAAACCACTATGTTCCAGTTTGGGAGGGTGACCTGCCCTGGCTTTCTCTCACGTGTCAAGGCTGTGTACACTCTCCTCTCTGACCCCCCACAGAACTCTGCTGACTCTCAGGCAGAGCTGTGGGGAGTCATGGTGTTATGACACCTTGTCATGGTGTCATGGCTGCTGACCCAGGTGCCTGGTCTCTCATTGGCAGGAGGAGTCCTAAGTCCTAGGTTTTATTCCAGTTGGTCTCTTCAACAGCTCAGGGAAACAATTTCCACATACAACTATTAAGCACCCGTTATTGAAAGCTCTGAGTGGGAAGGAGGTGGGGCCAGGAACATTGACAAACACATGAAGAAATTTCTGTGCCCTCAGGTTGTTTTCCACTAGTGGGACTGAAATGATGGTATCTGTAATAAGGGAGCTCATGTGTTTTGGTCGTGTTGGGGAGAGTGACGTTGTTTCTTGGAAGTTGTCTTAAAGGAGGTCACATTTGAATTGGGCTTTGAAACACACAGAGGCCTTCCAGGACGATGGGGGTTGGGTGGACGTGGAAAG